TCCTGCTAAACCGTGAAATGAAGGTTGTCCTAAATGGGTCCTCTCCCAGTTCCTTTCATACAAACTTTGGTGTTTTCCAAGGCTGGGTCCAACACTGTTTCCGATCTTTATCAATGATCTTCCTGATGTTATCAGTTCCAAAGTAGGCATCTACAAAGACGACACTATCATTTACTCCTGTCTCAATAGTAAATGTGGCATTGCTGACAAAGTTAACCTGGCCATTGGTCTTGAAAAGAACCTCCAATCTGTGGCTGACTGGGGCAGGAAATGACTTGCAAACTTTAATGCCTCCAAAACTAAATTGCTCTCATTTACCCACCATAGAGAAACATCCCTGCCTCCTATCAGCATGGCTGATGCTCAACTTCATGAGAGCATCTTGCTGCACCTACTTGATCACACAGTGGAATAACTACATTGAATCAATAACTATATCTACTGCAAGGAAAGTTGGTTCTCTGTGTCGTGCCAGAAAGTTTTTTTCGTCTGAGTTCATCCTTCAAATCTACACATCTACTATTTGTTGATGCATTGAATACTGTTTCCATATATTGTCTGGTACCCCACTGTTGATCTCGAGGTTCTTGACAAAATCCAAAGACAGATATGCAATGTGATAGGTCCTAATCTGGCATCTCAACTACAGTCACTTTCTCACAGACATGATGTAGCTTCCCTCTGTCTTTTCTATAAATATTTTCATGGCAACTGCTCTAATGAGCTATTTTCACTGGGGCCCCAACTGCATGAATTTATGCATGATACTATGTTGGTATCTCGGTCTAAGCCTTTCACTGTGGAAACAGTTAAATCTAACCACCTCTTCTACTCCAACAGCTTCTTCTCTCACACATCCCAACTGTGGAACTCCCTTCCTCTTACTTGCTTCCCTGATAGCTATAATCTTTCAAAATTCAAATGTAATGTCAATCAACATCTTCTGATGGCTTGATCTTGATGTCCATCCTTCAGTCCTTCTCTTTATCCTTTCCTCAAATACTCCTCTTTACTATTACTCTCACTCTCTGTAACCCCTTGTGTAGTAGTGGCACTCCTGATTTGCTTTTAAATGCTTAAAGAAAAGCTGAGATGCCAGGTCAGGACCAATAATATTGCTGATTATTCTTTGATGAAATCCAATTCTATATAGGAGGTGTACCAGACCATATGTGGCAGCAATATTCTAAGCATGAACAAATAGTAGACTTATAGATATGTAAGATAGTTTCTGGAAAGAAGAATTATCTAGCACAACACAGTGAACCGACAGCTGACCTAGCAATGGATTCAATATAGTTTTTCCACATTATGTCAGCCAAGTGTTAGTTCAAGAAGGTGCAAAGTGTCACTATCCTGAAGGTTATCATCAGTCATGCTGGAAGGCAGAAAGGTTTTTTCAGTTGATTAATAGAGAGCAGTTTTGTTTTTGAGGTTTTAAAATTGATATTTTTGAGATTGGCTTCCAATTTGACCTTATTGACCTGTTCAGGCTTACTATCAAGACAGGAGTAAATGGTTGCCATCATCATAGATACCATATTGAGAGCTGATGCCAACAGGAAGTTTTTCATTAAGATCAAATTAGGAACAAAGATAGAGCCATGGGGAACACCTGCATTACTACAAAAGGATATAGTGATTTGATAAAAAAAAGACTGAATCAGTTCAAAAATTTATCCAGAGACAACATAACATTTTAACTTGTGAAGAAGACCAGTATGCTAAACCCTGTGAAGACTTTTGAAATGTCCAGAAAAACAAATCTGATGTTTCACCATTCTTATCTAAAGCTTGATAGACTCTTTCAGCAATAATCAAACCATCTAATTTTTCTGTTCTCACAAAAGCAGTTGAGTATAATAAACCTGGACAAGTAATAACTTGCAATCTCTATAATGAAGAATAATGGAGGAGAATAGAGACTATAAGCATGGCAAGCAACAAAACAGAAAGAAACAAATCTATAATCACTATTGTCATAGATCAAGTTCAGGACTTTCAGTTAGACAATCAATATAGGATCTCTGAACAGAAGACATTAGATAGTAAAAATATAATCTTAGTAGAAATAGAGAGCCATATAGCATTGAAAAAACAGTTCTCACTCAGTAATCAAAGTTAAGCAATGTTGAGCCTGGTCAGAAGTTAGATGACCACTTGAGAATACCAAGTGTTGTAAGCTTGGATGTTTGTGTGGGTATAACAAATGGTAACTCAGAATGAGAAAATGGTGAACTGAGACTCAATTTCAGTTGTGTTTTGTTACATTTAGTTACAAGCAAATATTTCTCTCCTGCCAGCTATGGGCTCTTCAGTTAACAACCGGCTTAGAAGAAGTACAAACCCTATGTAACCTTGGCGGAGCATATACTATAAACAGCTAATGAAAGGATCATGAAGTTTACAATCATTCTGCCTGTGATTGGGCTAATAATGATAGTAAACAGAACTTATGAATTTGAGGAGTTAAAATGAACTCCAGAATTAAACTGAAAATAAAATATTTGAACAAGTTCATTCTGAAAATGATCAAGCAAGAATATATAAAAAATGGTTTTGTAAAAATGAAGAATCACATGTATAAAATGGTTATTAAGGCAAGACTTGACAGCAAAAGAAACAATCCAAACCTTTTCTCTTCCTTCAATATGGCTGATGCTAACCTCCAGGAGAGTAACTCACTGCACCCTCTTAGTCTAATCTCTTCCATTGATATGAATTGGAATGCATCAAGTCAGTTGTTAAGCCTGCTGACAAGAACGTTGGTTAACTATGTTTTGTGTGCCAATGTTTCTCATCTAAATCTTTTTCCACCTTTATAACTCTACCATTTATCCATGCATTTAATATTATTGCCACATCTGGTCCAGTGTTTCTGCTAAGTATTGACAAATTCTTAAAATTCTAAAAAAAATCTATAATATTATCAGTCCTCACCTGGCATCTCAGCTTGAATCACTTTCCTACAGCCATAATGTAGCTTTCCTGTACCCTTTCTCTGAATATTTTCATGGCAATTGTTCTGATGAGTTTTTCTCTTTGGCATCTCAACTTCATGAATTTAAGTGCAGTACTAGATTGGCAATTAGGTCTCCTGATTTTACTGTTGAATTGTTAACTTTAAGTTATATTCTAATAGTTTCTTCTCTTGCACTTCTCCCCTGTGGATTTCTCTTTCAGCTTCTTGCTTTCCTGTCAACCTGGATCTTCAAAAATTGAAATGGCTGAACAAAAATGATCTTTGCAACAATCAAAATAAAAATTCCTGATATGACTGAGTTCCAATTAAAATAAAGAAACTAAAAGGAGATGGGTTATGGTGCTTGACAAGAAGACATGTTTGGTTAGCAGCCCTTGGTGTTGAAGAGAAACAAATTCATTAAGGTAAAAATGAATAAAAAGTGCACTGATTTCTGAGTATTCTGCAGTAAATTTGCATCTCGGTTCTTAAAAACTTTCTTAACAAATTTTCTGTTGTGGATGTGTGGGGATATATAAAAACAACAATGATAAAAGCAAAAATAGAAGTTTGGTTTGGTTTGGTTTATGTTACAGCATATCAACCTCAATGGATCATGTAATGCTGACAACTTTTTGTTCCTGGTAATATTTTTGTTTTGTCAAAAATCTATTTCTGTTAATATTTTTTCCTCAAAAATGTATAACTGGTAATATTATTTTTCAAAAACATATAGCTGGTAATATTTTTTCAAAAACATATAGCTAGTAATATTTTTTTTTGAAAACCATATTGCTGGTAATATTTATTTTTCTTCAAAAATTTATTTCTGGTAATAATTTTTTACAAAGTATTTCTGATATTAAAACCCATTTTTACACTTTTATAATGCTTTTTACCTCAGTTTCAGGGTTAACTATTTGCCCATAGCTGGGACCCTAACAGGTGCTACCACCCTGGGTCAGGGTGGACCTGGGAACACCAGCAATTAAGAGGAGGTTCCATGTTCTTGAAAGCCTCCTGATCAGAGGCCTTGCTGCTGGACGTAGTTTATCGTCTTACCCTGGACGCAGTTATTGCCCTATTATTTAAAAAAATAAAAGACTTCATCAATACTAAACAAAACAATAAGCTAAAACTTGAAGGAGGAATTTACTCAATTGCCTGTAATAATTGCCATAGAAAATACATAGGAGAAACCTCAAGGAATCTAAATAAAAGATTATATGAACATAAAAGAGACATTTTAGAAAACAATCCCTCAAATGCTTTGGTTGCCTACCGTAATGAGACTGACCAAAATTTTAACATAAAAAATGCTACTCTGATCAAAGGGGAAAACAGTTCACTGCAACGAACATGTCTAGAGCGTGCCTTGATTGCAAGATCATCTCCATTAAATTAATGCCCTCGCTCTTACAATATTTCACCATTTCTGGCAGAACTTCTATCATCTCAATGTCGGATCTACGAAGAAAAGTAATGGAAAAAAAAAAGAAAAATAATCTAAGTGAAATCGTCTAGATTAAAAAAAAATAATAAATAAATAAATTAAAAATTTTAAATTTCCAGCATCCCTGGTTCATCTGTATGTGTAGTGACACCAATGTAAACAAATTTTGTCTGATGAAGACCTAAAGGATAAAACACATCACAAGAAGATGTTTCCACTTTGTCACACACACACACACACACACACACACACACACACACACACACACACATATATATATATATATATATACCCAAGTACAATTATAATTTTGTGATGTTATAACATGCATATGTTATAATTTTGAATATATATATATATATATATATATATATATATATATATATATATATGACATATGTTATTCCATCAATAAGAATATTACTTTTACCTGATTGTTCTTGATGTCTCTAAAGACTTTTCTTGTCACAAAAGGTAATAAATTGGATTTTCTTCCTTGATCTTTGAGGTTTTTTCACAGTGTGAACATTTTCAAATTTCTCAATATTTTGAACATTTCGAACTGGCATTTGAAATTGCTTGGATATGGCTCCGTTGCCTCGATCAGGTTTTGTCTGTAGTTGCCTTGTTGTGATTCTTTCACATTACTTTATATGTCAATTTTCAGTTAGGAAAAAGAACTCCTTTAATGAAAATATTACAAACATTAGGTATGTAAGACACTCAGCAAGGAGAAAAGATATTAGTGCAAAATATAACTTGATCACTGTGCAAGAGATTGCAAAAACAGTAGGTAACATCAGCTTACTGCCAATAAAAAAGAAGAAAAATGAATCATCAGCTAGTGCAAGTGTACTGCAGAACAAATGTCTTCAAGAGAGTCTGTGCTCTTCTCTTTTATAAAGCAGTCTTCTGTCTCATCTCTTCTTCTTTCTGGTCTTAATGAATTTTGGACCTATTTAATACACTTCAACCAACCTTTTGCTCCATCTATTATTCTCTATTCTTGCTATATGCCCATTGTACATCCGTTTTTCTTACTTAATTACTGCTTTTATATCTATTATTTTGGTTTGTTTTCATATCCATGTTAATCTTTTTCTATCTTCTACAGCCATTTAAACAATGCTAATCTTTTTCTATCTTCTACAGCCATTTAAACAATGTTAATCTTTTTCTATCTTCTACAGCCATTTAAACAATGTTAATCTTTTTCTATCTTCTACAGCCATTTAAACAATGTTAATCTTTTTCTATCTTCTACAGCCATTTAAACAGTGTTAATCTTTTTCTATCTTCTACAGCCATTTAAACAATGTTAATCTTTTTCTATCTTCTACAGCCATTTAAACAATGTTAATCTTTTTTGTTCCTCTACAATTATTTCAACAATGTTCTATCTTTAAAGAAAACTTGTAAGAAACAATTGGTAAATGACAACTCTGTAAATTTTCATTGGCAAAATTTTTGTTTAAATGCTATTAGTTTTTCTTGTATTTTGGAACATAATATATTAAGAAAAAATTAAAAATCTTTTCTATTTTTCAATTTTTTTCTAATCATTTCTACTTCCCATGAATTATTTTTTTTTCTTTGTTTTCTTTTTTCCCATTGTTCAACTTTTAAATTTAATTTTGATTCTGACTCTCTTGTCTTCCAATTCCTCTTTATTGCTTTTCTTTGATTTTGGGCAAATTTTCAACTTTCTTTTTTCACTTTGTCTTCCTTTTTTTTTCTTTTTCTTGCACTCCATTTTAGCAAAAAAAAAAAAATATTCCTTCACTTCCAATTCCTCTTTTTTCACTTTGTCTGTTTTCAAACCAATTTTCAACTTTGCTTTTTTATTTTGGTTTTGTCTGCTTTTTTATCATTAGGTTTTAAAACTTCTTATGCTACGTATTCTGCTGCTACTTCGGCCAAATTTGAATGATGATAGCTTTTACTGTAAATCTTATATTAGATACATTTGATCTATATCTTGGACTATACCAATTGTTTCTTGTGGTGACATTACTGAAACACCTCATGAAAAATTCAGTTGTCATTGCAACTTTTATATTAAATACATCTTTCTTCTGTTTTTTTATTTACATTTTTCCCCATTCATTCATTTTTCTTTCTTTCTTAATCTTACTCTACAGTTTTCTTTCTTTCTTTTCTTTTTCTTTCTCTGCATCTTCCTTTTGTTTTTTATTTACATTTTCTTCATTCATTCACTTTTCTTTCTTAATCTTGATTTACAATTTTCTTTCTTTTCTTTTTCTTTCTCTACATCTTTCTTTTGTTTTTATTTACATTTTTCCTTCTTTAATTCATTCATTTTTTTTCCTTAGTCTTGCTCTACATCATTCTTTCTTTTTTCTTTTCTTCTTTATTTCTTTATCTTTCTCTAAATTTTCTTTTTTTATTCATGGTTTTTCTTTACACCTTTTTTTGTTCTTAGTTTTTTATTTACATTTTTCTAATGTTTCTCAGATTTTCTCTATATTTTTCCTTTTTTTTAAAAAACTTTATAACCTTCGTTCCTTTGACTCTACAGTTTGCTTTCTATATTCTTCATTTTCTCACACATTCTCAGCATCTCTTTTCTCAATGTTTTTTCCACATTTCTTTCTCTAAATATTTTTATATCTTTCTTTTCTTTTTTCCTTTCTTTCTGTTCTTTTCTTTACATTTTTCTTTCTTTTTCTTTCATTCTTTTCTTCTTTCCTTTTCTTTCTTTGTTTCTTTTTAACTTATTGCTTTCTTTTCTTTCTTTCTTTCTGTCTTTCTTTTCTTTCTTTCTGTCTTTCTTCCTTTTCTTTCTTTTCTTTACATATTTTCTTTTTTTTCTTTCATTATTTTCTTCTTTCCTTTTCTTTATACTTCTTTCTTTTATTTTCTTTTATCATCTTTTTCTTTCTTTCTTTCTTTCTTTTCTTTTCATCTTTTCTTTCTTTTTCTTTCATTCTTTTCTTATTTCATTTTCTTTTTTCTTTCTTTTTAACTTCTTAATTTCTTTTCCTTTCTTTTTTTGTCTTTCTTTTCTTTTCTTTTCTTTATTTCTTTTCTTTTCTTTTATCATCTTTTCTTTCTTTCTTTCTTTCTTTCTTTTACATCTTTTCTTTCTTTGTCTTTCGTTATATTCTTCTTTCCTTTTCTTTTTAACTTCTTGGTTTCTTTTCCTTGCTTTCTTTCTGTCTTTCTTTCTTTTCTTTTCATCTTTTCTTTCTTTTTCTTTCATTATTTTCTTCTTTTCTTTCCTTTTCTTTTTAACTCCTTTCTTTCTTTCTTTCTTTCTTTCTTTCTTTCTTTCTTTCTTTCTTAACCCATCTCTATATTTATGGCTTTTTTTTTCACTCTTTATATCTTTCTTTCTCTCCTTACTTGTGAACACTATGTCTTTTTCTTTCTCTCTCATGATTCCTTTCAATCCATCATAATCCTTTTTTTCTGTTTTTTCTTTTTTCATTTTCTTTTTCCTTATTTTAACAGCATTCTCTTGATTAATTTCCTAAACTTGCTGAAAAGATCTAAAAGAAAATTTATGCATAAAATGAATAAAAACTGATAGACGGATACATAAACTTTAAAGAAAGATAAAATATAAACAAATAAAATAAGTAATAAAAAAAAATAAGATAAATAAAATGAATCAATAAATAAAAATAAAACCCAAGTAGAAATTAGTTAAAATCCAATTTCTATAATGATACAGTTGAAGTCAAAAGCAGGTATTCAACTGCTTAACGTGAGTGACGTTTTATATTGCTGATGTAGATTTTGTTCTTGTTGAATAAAATTCTTTTCTTAATGATGTCAGTTCATTGATGAAATATGTCAAAGTAGTTTTCCAAATTCTCTTCTACACATACCATTTCTTCAGATTATTATCTAATTTACTTGTATGCATATATATATATATATATATATATATATATATATATATATATATATATATACACACACACATACAGAGAGATACACACATGCATAAGCCTTCACCACTATAATGAAACCATTTGTGTGGGTAGTTTTGCTGATCGATACTAAGAACTGAGTTGTTGGACCCTCATATACTGGGAGAGTTCATCATATGCACTTATACAATGGAAGAGTCCAACATATACATTAAAATTTGTATAAAATATATATTTGTATTAAATATATATATATATATATATATATATATATATATATATGAAAATTTTCTCAGAGTTAACCTGTCGAAAAAGACAATATGTATAAAGGTATGTGTGTATATTTTACAACTGAAATAAAAATAATAACATAATCATTTAATAGTAAATCACATGAAAACAGATGCATAATACTACTGACCAACTCTGTCACATCCACTATCCAGAACAAACTATCCCATCTAAATAATCTTAAAATAACCAGACACTTCCAGAACCATTATGGATATAATCAGATCCTCAAATACTAATAGCAATAATATTTCTGAAGCAGGCATTTTATAAAATGAATTGCCACAACTGTTCCTCCCAATATATTGGCAAAACAAGCAGAAATTTAAAAAAATGGATCTATGAGCACAAAAGAAAGCTCACAAAAAACAACTTAATTAATGCACTAGTCAGAAATAAATTCAACCACAATTTTGATTTTAAAAATGCTGCATTCATGTAAAAGAAAATAACTCACTCAGAAGAAAAATCCTCGAGAGTGCCACTATTGAATATTATCCAAATATTAATCAACCACCAGGCTTTTTCCCTATTTCACCTTTCTTAAAAGAATTACTACTCTCCCAAGCAAATGTACACAACTGTATCAAGAAGTCAAAAGAAAATGGTTGAATCTGTTAACAAAACAATAAAAACAATATTTCTACATGTGAAAGTACTTGACATAATTTTCACTTGACAATATGAATACAATAGCATTTTCTAAATTCTTCTAGTTGTTAAGCAAATTTTGTTTGTTGTTAATAGTTACTTCATTTTTAATAAAGTCATTTTGTTTTTGCCTTGAAAAGTCCACATTGGATGAAACGTGTTGGCTAATAAAAGAGTTTTCCTATTGTCTTTTACCTTTATATATATATATGTATGTATATAAATATAAAAGAGAACATTGAAGTCAACACTCAAAGGTGACAGATTATTTCATGCTAAACGCAATCATCAGGCCATATGTGTTGGGATTTTTCTTGACTTTTTATATTTACAGGTCTGTGGTGAATTGTGGATGGTCTATTCTAATTTTGGTGGGAATGGTTTGTTACTTTATTTATTTATTTGGATTAATTTATTTGATTTGCTTTTTTTATTTTTATTTGATATATTTTTCTTTTCGGTTTTTGATTTTTTAGTAATGTAGTAAAAACTTTTTGAGATGAGTTCTGATCATTTATTTCATAGTTTGTTTTGGTCTGATAAGTTAATTATACCTATTTTTTTGTCCAATTTTTGTATTGATTCTTGTAGTCTATTCTAAGAGTTATTTTGGTGGAAGTGGTTTGTTAATTTGTTTATTATTTGCTTAGTTTAATTTATTTTACTTGTTTTTTCTTATTTGTTTTTATTTTATTTATTTTTAGTTATTCTTTTCATTTTTTGATTTTTAAGTCATGTTAGAATAGACTACAATGAAGTGGCTTGGTGTTGTGAGGATTCTGTAGCCAGTCACTTTATATGGCAGCTCAGGACAGGTGGGGGCCTTTAGTTACCTGTTACTTCTTTGGTGGAGGAGTACAAGGTATTAAAGGTGAGATTGCAGTCCATGTTGTGTGAGTCTAAAGATGCTGTAATCTGGGAAAATGCGTTGGAGGTGAAGACAAGTAGCAAGTGGAAAGTATCAGACATGATGTCTACAGTGGAAGGAATGGCAAAGCAGGCAGATGTTCAGGGAGGGAGATGCTAGAATTGATCTACTGGAAAGGGAGCAATTCAAGTCAGAGACCAGTAGACAAGTGCAAATCAAGTTACAGGAACAAGAGGTTTCAGAAGCTCATGGAGGAGAGATGATTGGCGAAGTATATCTAATAAGCTCAGTAAGGTCGATGGCTTAACTGGGAGGGTGTTCAAATCAGTTGATCTGATTGATGTCATTTCAACACAGGAAATTTGAAGTTTCTTATTCAATAAGCATATGATGATGTGGCATCACCAGAAAAATTTGAGGAGATGGGGCATACATGAGTCAACCAATTGCTGATTGTGGGGCGCATATGGAAACCTGCACCATATGCTGCAATCCTGTCTGAAGACACTACTGGAGGTTGTGGCAGCATCTTTGAGAAGTGCTAATATACCCTCATCTGACCTGTGAAGGATTGCCTTTCTGAAGCAAGGTGTGGCTGTTAATAGGCAGAAGGCCAGGTCAGAGGTTTCAAGGAAGTGGACAGTGTTGGTTGATGCTACACCACCAGGGGAGATTATTGTGTCTGGATTGAAGCCAGATCTAGTGTTGTTTGATAGCAAGAAGAAGCATCTGCCACTTGGCAAGCTGACAGTGATTTGGGAATTGAAGAGGATCATGAAAGAAAGCTGCTTCGGTATGTGGAAGTCTGCATTTAGAGATTCGTCTCCAGCTGTGCTTGTCAAACTCTCTGCCTCTGAGCAGAGCGAATCCCCAGATGAGGCTCTGCCAAAGGGCAGAGTCTCATCTCAGGAAACAGCTACCTGACCCCATTTTATACGGGGTCTACAAGGAATTTTTGGCTCAGATACCCTACATTAAATTTGGCCTTGTGCCACATCTGATCATGTGGGGCGGTTGGTAGATATCCTGCTTCAGTATGAGGAACTGGTGGCTGAAGTCTATGAGAGAGGATACAGCTGCACTATGGTATCATTTGAGGTTGGCTGTAGTGATTTCCTGCTGCTTTCTAAAGAGATTCCACAAGTGCACTGGTATCCAAAAGCCAAATAAGGTGATAAAGACCTGTGGGGAGAAAGTGGTGAAAGGCAGTGTGTGGATTACCCAAAAGTTCATTTTGAGTGGCGTCCAGCTAACAACATAAACTGCCAGCAATGCAGTATCATTCAGCTGTTGTGGGTCCACTTTGTCGAGAGGTACAAACAGGTCAAAACTTTTTGGGAACATGGCACTTAGCTGAAGCATTTGTAGCTATAGAAAGTCTAGATATAGGAATCAATTTGGCCTTCTCATCACACTGAAATTTGAAACAGACAGTCCTCATGCAGTGTTGATTCTTATGTCCACATCCTCTTCCTATCCCTCTTCCTCCCTCACTCTTTCTCTCTTTACCACCCCATATATATATATATATATATATATATAGTAAAAGCCATGTATGATACTTATACAAAGAGTTGATGACATAAATATTCTTTGTTCTGTGTATATCTTTTATGTTTTTATTGACTTGATATGTCAAAGCACAATAAAGTTTTGGGGGTAATAGCAAAATTTTTTGGTTGCATCAGCAACCATCGTTGGTGTTTTTGTTAAACATTGAATAGTGTCAAGCAAAGACAAAGGAGTACACTTTATTGTATATGTAAAATCAGTAAAAACATAAAATTATACAAAGAATATTTTATATACATATACATATACATATATATATTATAAAAGATTATAATAAAAACATTTTACATCGCTACACAAATGCATTCATGTTTCAGTACCATGATCACAATTTATCTACCATTACCTAAGGAAGTACAATAATCGTACTGAAACATGAAAGCTTTTGTGTAGCAATGTAAAATGTTTTTACTATAATCTATTATAATAAAAATATTATGATAATATTTTGTTGTACTTTTGTATTGATACTTTTTTTAAAAAAGTTAGTGCTATGAACTGTGGATTTAACTCCATCTGATTTTCTCTTATTTGTATATATATATATATATATATATATATATATATAAATATATAAATATATATATATATATATATATATATATATATATATATATATATATATGTTCATTGATGCATGTTTCATTAAATAATATAGACAAGTTTTGTCGATTTATTTTAAGTAAGTTCCTTTCATATTGTCTGATAAGTTTAATAGCATTATCATTGAAGAACGAAAGGAAATCACCATATTGATACATGTTTAAATCCAATCTAAACTTTCGGCTTACATAAGCCATTATCAAAGATGACAATTACTTTTCAATATATCAACCAATACACGGAACAATAATGATAGTCTGTTTTTGTTGCATGAAAAATGAATATATATGAAGAAATATAGCTTTAAGGTGTGCTATATTTATGGGATAAAGTACTCAATATCAGAAATAGAGTGTATGTAAATATAAAAGTGAACGTTGAAGTTAACACTCAGAGGCGACAGGCTGTTTTATGCTAGACACAATACAGGATACGTGTGTTGTTTTTTTTTTTTTCAGCTATTTATATATACTGGTCAGTGGTGCATTGTGGGTAGTCCATTCTGATGGTTATTTTGGTAGGAATGGTTTGTTTATTT